TCATGCTGCACCACATGCAAAACCCAAACGGTGGCAGCTAAGAAGTGCGCATGAATTTTTTTTTTTTCCGAAAGAATACTCGAGAATATTATTATTCTTTTTTTTTTAAACAGGGTAGGCGGGGCTTCTCGTTGTACTTGGATCCATATCTTGCTTCACCACCCACCAAAGTCGCATTGGGCCTCTAAGAAGTGCGCATGAATATTTTGATTTTCATATATACTAAGGAATATATGTATTTTTTTTTTAATTCAAGTAGCGGGGGGGGTGGGGCCCCCACTTCGGGCTTGGTTCCACATCATGCTGCACCACACGCAAAACCCAAAATGTCCAGGATCGTAACAATAGGTATCGGAGCGGACTAACTTGCTGGCAAGAGGTGTTGGTCACCCTAAACCTAATTCCGAATTAGGTTAGGGCTAACCTAATCTCGGATTAGGGTTAGGAAGTTAGGGTTAAGAGTGGCAGTGAGGTATGTGGATACTGCCCCCACCTGGTAAGGTCATGTAGGGTCGACATCAGACCTGACCAGGTTGCTTGAGTGATTGGATGGGGTGGCGAGACACAAAGGAGGCTAATTGGAGTAAGCGAGAGGGAGTAGAGAGTGAGAGGTACTCGCACCTGGAATCTGCACTTCAAGAAGACATTGAGTGACTTTTGGGCTTCCCATCAAGAGGGAGACTTGATCGGAGGATGCCATATCTGCATCGAAGAGTTGCAAGTTGCTACTTTGGTCTTCAGACATTGGCGGGGGATCCGATGTTGCAACATGGGTGTAGGAAGGCCCTCTTAGTCATGCTAGGACACTTTGTGTAGTGGTAGCTAGGGGTCAGGAGGACCTATGAGAGAGGGGGGTGAGTCGTTATCCATCTTTGGAGGCCGCGCCTCACAGGTAAGTGTCGTGTGACCTGGTTATGCCCGTGGGAGGTTGCTTGGTGCTTCATGGCCTGTTGGGTGTGCTGGGCTCTCTTCCTCTTCTCTGCGGTCTTGGTTGTGTGTATGAGCATGTGGATTGCTTTCTCACCTGATGGATGGAAGGATGATGTATCTGTTCTCAATGACATATCTTTCTACGATGCAATGTCTTTTCATTTCTGAACGGCTGTAGGGGTGAATTCTTGCTGAAAGTTGTCTTTTCCTTTTCGGTACGGTAGAGGCAGTTTGGGACTGATTTGGTATACCTATCTCGTTGGTCCTAATCCACGACCTACTTGGGACCTTCGGGACTCTTTGGGACTAGGCCCAACGGGAAAGGACCTCTAGGGCCCAAATCTATTGCCGCCAATGCATCTCTTTGCTGTGCTGAACTTGGG